TTTTTTTTTTTTGGTGAAAGAATAATAGTACAGAGAAGAGTAGTAGTCTTGTCGACTCGAGTACTCGGATAATATCCGTGTATTGCAAGGGTATACGTATATGTACGAGATGTAGTAGATCATTACATTATCATGGTAGAGAACCTTTTTTTGTTCGGCCAGGGTTGAACAAACGCTAAATTGTTTCTCAATCCTGTTCCTTGTTGTTGTTTTTATTGTTGCAAAATTTAAGAATTGATTTTTTTCGAAAAGATCCTAGCGTTTGTTCGGCTTTGAGCATAAAAAAGAGCATATGAACGAGTTGTATACGATATTTGTTGCTCCACGAGGATTGTAGGATTCTGTGTAATTTTAGTTTATATTTTAAAAATTGTCGAAACAATTTTTCTGCAATCCTCGTCCACTTGAAAATCACCACGAAACATCTCGAAGAAGAATTCTTCTTCCTAGTTCGTATTTACGAGAGAATGAAAACGGGTTTAATGGTGGGTTGTAAAAAATTATTACACGAGGTCTTAAAGAATTGAAAATAATTTTGAAAATAATTCTATGAAATAACGTTTCTTCGATATTATATTATATATTATATTATATATGTTGAATATTGATATTTCAACGTAATTATGCTTTTAATCAACAGTTCTTTTAAAAGAAAAGTATTTCCATCACATTATTAATTGCATCGATATTAATAAATTCTAAAGGCAATTTCAAAATTGCTTCAAAAAGTAAACAAGATACCATAAATCGACGCAAAAAGGGAATGAAATTATATTCTCACAAAATGATTCGATAAGACAGAAAAAAAAATTCGTAAATAAATTTAACAATTCCGATAAATCTTTATCGAAAATTAATTATTAAATGTATTTTAATACAGACCTCGTTAAACGCGTTTTCAAAATGTCGCGTTGTCAGTCTATATATAACGAAACTCGAAAGCACACGCACACGACATTACACGAAACATTTTCATTTCAACTATATTCGTCGGGTTATTCAGAGAAACACGGCAAAGAAGCATAATTGTCACGTCGAATTATTATTTTTCTTCATCTCTTTCACACACACACACACACTCACACACGCTCTCTTTCTCTCTGTCTCTTTCTCTCTCTCTCTCTCTCTCTTTCTCTCTTTTATCTATTTCTCCGTATTCTTCTTTTTCGTTTTTAATTTCGAAACAAATTTTTTTTTCCTACGAGATACATACGTCGAACGGAGGGGACCGCCTCGAGGAAGTAAATCCGCCAGCTACTAGTAACTCGGAAAGCTCCCGGCATGCTCTTAGCCTGGTTGCATCCGCACGTAATCACTGCACGTTGACGTATTTTATTTATTCTTGCATGCATTGTTTCAAAAAGCGGGATGTCGATCCCTTTCTCTCATCTACGATCGTTGGAATGATAAAATAATAGAATCATTTTGTTGGAGGAAAAGTGAAAAGTGATCGATGCCCGGTTTTGAACAGTGTCTCTGTTGTTGCAATGATTTCGTGTTATGGGCCAATGATGGATAATCGCTGTCGCCGCCATTTTGTCGAGAATCAACGTTCGTTTCGTGTCGTTTCAACGTTCGTCAACGGAGTTTCTCGAGAGAAAATGATCTTTTTTTTTTTTTTTTTTTTTTTTTTTTTTTTTTTTTTTTTTTTTGAAGAGATATTTTGTCGACGATGAAATGCGATCGAGATAAAATGGCCGACTTTTAAGTGTAACGAAGAACGGAAGGCTTGAAGAACTGCCTCCAGCTTCACAGCCATATCATGGTTGGACTTTAGTTTGAGTCTTTTTAGTGTATTATTATAGATTTTCATGAGTGATATGAATTTTATTATTTAAATGTTGTGCACTCGCGAAGTTGCATATTTTTAAGTATTTTATCTATTATATGACGCCATGAACGATGTATCGGTGGGCGCCAAATTCAAATTATCTTTAGATTAACAGATCGATCATTATTATATTCAGATTCGATGAATCTAGCTAAAAAATGAATTATTTTATTTAGATTAGCGTTTAATTTTGATAATTCTTCTTTTCTTTCAATCAGTTTTATATGTGTATATTTTTTCCTATTTTTCTATCAAAAGTTTTTAATAAAAATTACAACTTTGGTTTCTTGATACCAATATAAATCGAAAACATCAAATCTAGAAAAAATCCAAAAGATTGCAAACTAAGTTGTGAACAATTATAATTATGCCATGTAATAAAACACAACATTTCCAAAGAGCAATTTATATTTGGCGCCAATACCACTACTTCCAATCGAATTGAATCTTAAAATCCAACATGGCGGCACGTAACTCTCAAAAATCCCTAAAAATACGAAACTTCGCGCGTGATCAACTCTCGAATCACAACGAATTTAAACAATTAATACTATTTTAAATCGTAAAAATCTATAAAAAAAAAAAATACATGTATTTTTTAAAAAAAAAAACTAAAGTTCCATCCATGCTACCACCGCCTGTACCAGTTATGGGTTCCATACGCACACCCATCATACACACATACACACACATGTATACAAGAAGCGACGTTTCCCGCGCTGCCATTTGCAAAGCGCTCGAGAAACCGATCGCCTACTTCGTAAGAATCTGTCGAAGATTGGTTAGACTTGCTCGAATATCTTTTTGGGGCAGGGAGATAAAAAAGAGGTTAAACTCGCTTCCTCGATTGGGAAAGAGGAAACCGCCGTCGATGCAAGGGGATTACTTTGATCTTTCCAAAAAAAAGAAAAAAGAAAAGGAGATATTGTAATTTTTCTCTCTCTCTCTCTCTCTCCTTTTATATTAAAAGCTGTCACGAGAAAGAGCGTAAAGAGAGGAGGTATGCATCGAGGTAACCCCGTTGCGAGACGATTTGAAACTTCGACGGATGAAAAGTAGTGGGCAAATTTTCTTTTTCGTCCGATATTTCTTTATTTCACCTTCCCTTCTTTTCGTCGAAAAGAAAAAGTGTCGATCCACTCGACGAGCGCAATACACGAAAAAGGGAAAAGAAAATTTGCTCGAGCTGTCGAGATAACGTGATAAATTAATAAGAGAGGAAAATGGCGCGGAATATTATATAATAGGGGGGGAGTGGAACATGATAGCTTGCTGTTAGCCCGTCTGGAAAGTTGTTCGTGAGAACATTGTTTGGGAAAGTTGGAGTTTAACGAATTTGGAAGGCGTAGGGAGGTTGGGAAAGAAAATGGCGGAGGGTAAATAAAAAAAAAGGGAAAGACGGGCACCGATACTAGAATCTAGGCTTGTGTTACGTCTGTGTGTTGGGTGTATTTTGTAGTTTCACGAGGCGCCGCCAAAGCTAGTGGACGCCTTGGCCATCGTGAACTTCTTCGTCACACTCCTTTTCCTCATTGAGTGCATCCTCAAACTCGTCGCCTTCGGATGGAAGGTATAAAAACAATCCTCTTAATCACTAAAAAATCCGCTAACTTCAGTTACACGCAACTATATTTATACATGTATATTTATGCAATCAGTCGAAAAGGTATCGTAAATTCGTTCCGAACCGAAAATTTCGATTTTAGTAAAGATTTGTGTATTCCATGCAAGAGTAATAATGGAATATTGGTTTTATTGGAATGTTGGATGATCAATCTTCAATTTTTTTGTTTATAATAGAAAATATTAAGCTCAATTTAATTGAGAAGCAATATCAATTTTATATTTGTAATATTATAAATAAAATATTTAGAATTCTATAGAAATAGCAAAATTAGATCACGACTTGATATACTTATAATTAGAGAAATGATTTCAAACTTTTAATAATTAAATGCTTCACTCATAATATTTATTTCAAAGATATAAAAGATGCCTTCTTTGCAATAGTTGCAATAATTTATTCTTTCAAATCAATTGAAAATATAAATTGTCTTATTCATTAATTCATTTTAAGTTTATAGAAATAAATCAAAAACTAAAACTTTAATACCAATCCAATATATTTAAAATATATATCTCACTCCATTTAAAAAGTTATTTATTTTAAATCTTAAGATTTTAACATCCAAACTTTCAATAAAAAGAAAATTTACTTTCAATAACACAATTTATCATCACTTAATGCATACGATAACTTTCGTGACTAATTGTATCCCATGCTATCATAATTCTTTCTTTCTTTCTTTCTTTCTTTCTTTCTTTTTTATTTTTCTTCACTCGTTTCGATCTAGATCATCCTACGCGTAAGAAAAGAAAAAAAAATAAATAAATAAAGTTTCGACAACTGGCGAGAGGATTAAAAATCTTCGTCGAAGATCGAGAGAAACAAAAGAAAATTGAACTAGCGCCAGAAAAGAGGAGTATCTGATACATAATATACACACACACACGGGAGAGACGTTTTCAAATTCGCCCGTCTCTCTCCTTAAAATAATCCAATAACCATCGAAGTAGCGAGTAAGCATACACGAACTTAAGATCCCCTGTTGTTTGATCTGTTTACAAGTTGCGAGAGCGTGTACCGATTAACTTCGAGCTCGTAAAAATGAGGGGAAGGGAACGAGTTTTAAATATCTCCGATCTCCCTATCTGAACTCTGGTAAAGAAAGACACCTTGTATAAATAATAACCTATGCTAGATACAATAGAAGAACGAAAGAAAATACGTAAAAGTATTTTTATCAGCAAGAATCATCACATCAATAACAGTTCAAATTACGAAATAAACTTATTTCAAGAATATTATCATAAAAATCGAATTTATTATAATAATATACAAATAAATATTATTCGAGCATTTCAATAATTACTTAAAGTAACTTTACTCGAAATTTGTAACTAGTTACTTTTTCAACTTGATCAATACTTCGATCGTTATTACGTAACGATATTTGTTAATATAATACATATTTGGACAAAGGGAAGTTGGTCGGTATACGCTTTGAATCGCCCTCGTATTTTAGACTATTTAGATTATTTAAAATCTAGAAGTGGACGTAAATATAGATATCGATAGAAGTTGCGATAGAGTTTGTTACGCTCTCTGATGATTATTCGCTCTTGTTTGCATTATATACAATTTAATTTTCAAGCGATTGACCTCTTTCCTGGCCCTGGGAAAAGGGTGGAAAAATTGTAGAGCTTCTCGACCGATACGACCGCGTATCTATCTTTCTCTGTCTCTCTCTCTATATTACATATATATATAGTTTGCTTGTTATTATATACATACATACATATATATATATATACCTATTACGGCATGCTCCCGTAGTAGATACTAACTTAGAAAAAAGATCCTGTCGTATATACTTCAATCGATCATCGATCACCGTGCCGTGCGACTCGGATATCTCGTAAATCGTGTAAAAGATCCCTCTCAGCCTAGTCTCTTCATCTTCCGCACAACACTCTTGTTACGAGGGAGAAGAAATTGGAGAGATATCGGTAGAATTGTTTTCAATTGTTTCCGTAGATTGGAAAATATTTTTTGGTTTAATTGTATATTATTATTTGGAAACGAGGATCTTGTCGATTTTGATTAATCTTGAAATGTCGAATTGTTAACGGAGATGTACGCGAAAATATTTTTGTAGGTGAATTCTAGAGGCTAAAATAAAAGAATAAAAGTTGAGTATAGAAAAATGTAGGTTATTTATATCAGATTACAAGCAATTGAAAGTAGTTATTCTATTCGCATTTCTGGTTTCATCTGATGCAAACTTAATTGATTTGTAATTTGATAAATAAATCTTAATCGATGTTTTTGGGTTCACAACTTTTGTTTCTGGTCTCTAGAATCGATCTTGCAAATGTATCTTATCAAATATATTAACAATCTGTACTTGTAAGATTCGAGTCAGGTTTGGATTGATCTTTTAAATCTCCAATAATTTATTTCAAGTTGAAATTTGACCAAAATTGAACGTAATAGTACCATCTAAAGATTTGTGTCCTAAATTTTCTTATTCATTCAATTGTTAGAGAAATGGTAACATATGTTCTAATTAAAACTTAACCTAAATTTAATCCAAATATAATACAATACAAACTTACGTAATCTAACATAAAGCAAACTTCATATCGTACGAGATAGAAAAAAAAAATACATTTGCATGTATCTCAAAAAACTGATGCGCAAAATTAACAATAAAATGTTAATCATCCGTGTAGAAAGGAATTATTCAAATAATAATCTTGAAGATATCTCAAAGATATCGAAATCGATGGGATGGCTCCCTAATTCTAAATGATTAACCTTTCTTCTATTATTTTATCTATTGTATACACGATAGAGTATTATTATTTTATACGTGACAGTTATCAATGCAAATATTACAATTTTCTTTTTTGAACGAAAATATATGGCCTTTTTTGTACTAAAAAAAAAAAAAAAAAAAAGAAACACATCGTTCGAAAGCACGGCTCTTCGCTTTAACTCTTTTTTTTCTAACCGACGTTTAAAGTTCGGTGAAGGGGTGCGTATTGGCACACACGTATACAAATATACATACACACACACACACACAATGACAAATTCACTTGGAAAGATCGGAACCTGCGAAAGCAGGGCCGAGCTTCCCTCTTTTTCTCTTTACGAAATTCGTAGTTTCTTAGCGCTGCCATTTAACACACACAAACACACACACATATATATACACACACACATCTTTTAACTGCTTCGAAGTTTCCTCGAACCCTGTCCCTTTTGGATAATAAATCAACAAGAAAATGCAAAATTGAGCCGAGAAATAGATAAGGATCGAATCAGTTTTCGAAGAAGCTTCGACGACAGTTGTAGGCAAGCCTGATGGCGCGATGGATACCTAATCGATACTTTTTTTTTTCTTTTCTCTCTCGTTCTCTCCCGCCGAGCAGAATTTCTTCAAGGACGCCTGGAACACGTTCGACTTCATCACGGTGATCGGCAGCATCGTGGACGCCCTCGTGATCGAGTTCGGGGTACGTAGAGCTTCGACAAAAAGAAATATCGCCTTCTTTACAAAACTGCTGACGAGTAAATGTTCCGAGTGAAGTAGTATTTTCCATTTTATTTATTTTTTTTTTCCTCCCCCAAGAAAAGAGAAAGTAGAATTTTGTTTATTTTTAATTTTTATCGACGAGAAAACACCTTCGATGAGAACACCTTTCTTTCTCTCTCTCTCTCTCTCTCTCTCTTTCTTGATTACACCCTACTTATTAACTGTGTCGACCCAATGTTTGCTTGACTTGTACATTATTATCGAGTGTTGTCTTTCCTTTAACCCTTTTGCTGCTTATCTAGTTTCAGCAGAGTGTACAGATATATAACATGCATAGCAGGTAATATTTCGACGATATTATTCGATATCCCTTTACAATATCATTGTATTATTTGCGTAGCTTATATGCTGCATTCATACGCTACACACCCCACACTGTACATTATCACATATCCGCATATAGCATACAGTCGCCACGATATAAGCAGTATATATAATACACATTAAGATCTAGAATAATCTCTCGAAGGGAAAATGGTGGGGGGAGGGGGAGAATTTTTCTCTTGGAATTGAGATAAATCCTTATTTAAATTACATTCGAATTATTTCACAATTTATTTGCGTGCATTTTATTGTTTTTATTTCGAGTAAAAAAAAATTCAAATGTCGTGGCACGTGTATATTTAATAAAGGGTGGTTACGTATACGCCGTAAGAAAGAGAAATTACTATCAGTGGAAAATTTTAAGAAAAGATCGATCGTATTGATTCAAAGAAATCATCGATTTTTCTCAATTCAAAATCGAATTATAGTAAATCGTTGTGAGAGAAAAATTATTGGAAAATTGAAAGTTACACTCCAACCTTTCCCTTCGAGTGATCTCTTTTGTATCGTATAGTAAAAGCGAACATTCTCTTCGAACAATGAACATAAATACAGCACCACCCATCAAGTATTTCTTTACTCCTCTCAGTAGTAGAAGTATTAAAGAACCCGAAGTAAACGTCGTGCTATATAAAACTCCACACGCCGTAATTATTATAATCCATTAAAAAAAAAAAAAAAATCGACAGATATATATATATATATATACACATACAGACACTATAGTTGAGCGTCAATGCCCCCACATCAAGGCCACATCGAGTCGAAATTTCCTTTTTTTAAATGCTTGCACTCTCCTAGTAGGTTTGCTGAATCGACCGAGATTAAACGTGATCTTATTGGCTAACTTACTTTTAGATAAGTCAAGCCAAGCCAAAACCAACCTTTTTCCAACGCTTCGCGTATATATATATATATATATATATATATATACATATATATACATATATATATATATGACAAGTTGTTTAAATCTCAGTCTCAGCCGCCGCCTCAGAACTACTTAAGCTTCGTTTATATGTAAATCTCCGCTAGTTTTGTTCTATATTCGCATATATAATGAGATCAGTGTGCACGATCGTACGATCGGCCCCAATAATTTTGCAATATCGTGTATTTTTGTACTATAGGAGCGGTTTTCGAGTATGCCCAGTGGCGGCCAACTAGGCGAAAAAAAGGTATAAAGTTTCGTCACATTAACACCCACAGACGTAAGTTGTCCGTGTAATTTTAAATTGAATTATTAACAGGGGAGCAAATAAGATATACATATACACACACACACATAATAATCTTGCTATAATCTTTCGTCATCGTTATCCCAACGAACGTGCAATTTTACATTTGCTCGTTCGTTGCACGCGTTACATTATTTGCTTGCCACACGACCCATAAAAAAGACACTTCACTCGACATATTTCTTCTTTCTCGCGCTTATACGACACGATATACATCTTACTTGCGCGTACACAAAGCAGGCACACGAATGGCATATGGATGCGGTATTAACGCGCGATCAAAATTTCTGCAGCCATCGCATCTACAGAGGCTTCGCTACAGCAAAATGGGTTTAACGAACGACGTCCGTATGCAACAATGGGACGAAGTGACGAAAAATTTGATGTATTTTAATATGTTTCGTGTAATTAAAGAAAGAATAATAATAAATTTCAGTCATCTTGCGCAATACTTGTTTATAAGTATTCAGAAATTTAAGAAGCGATTCTTCGAATCTTCGACGAGACTAATGATCGGAAATAACAAAATTGCATTTTTTATTCTTTAGTTATTGATATTATTAATACACGAATATATTATTTATAAAGAATAATAACTCATGTACAGTAATTTTTAAATTCAAGAATATCTACGTTATCACGAAATGTGATAAAATCCTTCCATTTTTCATGTAAAAAATATAAATATTGTCGTCAAAACACGGCTAGGAAATAGAGGGAACTATGCCATCGAAGCCTTTTTTTGTTTCATTCCGATATCTCGATCCGTTGTTGAGATATAAAGACTTAAAGTATAATGCGATAGAGAGATTATTATGAATGGTGCTGCGATCTATATTTTTTCCCAGAAACGTATGTTAACTCTTCTAGGAATCGCGTCTGTCATTTGTTTGGAACTTGGGATTGGTCAGTGACGAGGCGCGAGCGAGAGTAAACGATTAAAAATTACTCTTCGCTTTACACGACGATATCTCGGGAACCGGAAGTCGTATCGGGATAAATGAAAAAGCATTTTAAAGAGGAAGATCCCGCGCTTCTAACGATCTTTCGTTCATTGATTAAAAGTTATTATTTTCAAAGTTATGACGAGTTTAAAGTTTTCGTAATTTTAATCGAGTTTAAAAAACGTAACTATTTTATTTTCTCGTGTAATTTTAGCTTAAAGGATCACTTCTTAAGTTTCTATATACAATCAGAATACATTATTGTTCTTTTAATTATACAAAATATTCAAATATATCGAATATCCCGTCGTTTTGTTTTACACTGTAAATTAAAAACATATCACGTGTGATTTTAACCTTAAACGTTTTGATATATATATTATATTATATTTGTTTTTCGATACACGCAACGTTCTCCTTAGCTTCGTTCGTGTATCGAAACAATGTCAAAGAGCGCTTCTCGAATTCAGATCAGTTCGAGACATGCTCGAAAGACAACGTGACGTTACACGCACGAAGCGTTGCTCGTAATACGATAAGGAACCGGCATTTTTGGGGATTAAGTGCAATTTCCTCTGCCCCCTGCAGGAGAACTTTATCAACGTCGGCTTCCTGAGGCTGTTTCGCGCGGCCAGGCTGATCAAACTACTCAGGCAGGGTTACACGATACGAATTTTGCTCTGGACCTTTGTACAATCTTTCAAAGTAAGTCAATATATAATATTGAAATTATTAACAATTTTTAATTTTTTCCTATCGAATCGGTCAAGTGATTAAGACTTTTAAATGAAAATTGTATTTATTGCGATTGAAAACAAAAAATATATAAAATAATATTCGTTAATGAACATTGATCGAAAAATTCATATTTTCAAAATTATAAACAAATTTTTGTTTCTGTTCTTATGACTAATTCGTTTCGAAAAATTTTATTATTTTATTATTTCTTCTTTTCTTGATTTCAAGATATTGTTCTTTCTATACATCTCAAAAATTTTCTTCTAAATGATTTGATTTACCATAGGAAATTATTTATAAGTTTAAAAATATTAATTTTTCGATCTGCATTTATTAAAACTTTTCCTCTTTATTCAACAAATACTATCTTATCATCCTGTTTAAAAAATTGAAATCTTTTTCAATTTTACAATCCAATTTTTTCCATTCCAGGCTCTGCCTTACGTTTGTCTCCTCATAGCGATGTTGTTTTTCATCTACGCGATCATCGGTATGCAGGTACGTATCTTTCCATAGGAGAAATTCCTGTGTATTTCATTCAAGGAATGAATTATTTCCATAATTTCCGTCTTAATATCACGGAATACGGAATTTAATGAAAATTTCGATGAAAGACAAGAAAAAAAAAGAAAAAAGAAAACGTGTCGAAAAAAATAGTCTCCAATGATGAAAAGTCAACATTGGAAGCTGTTCGGCTTGTGGGAAAAGGGCTAGTGATATTGTTTACAGGAACAGAATGATAAACGATAACTATAAATGGGTCCATTAGTCACCATGAAATTCCGTTGTCAGGTCTTTGGAAATATATCGAACGATCCAGGAACAGCGATCGATGATCACAACAACTTTCAGTCCTTCTTCGCTGGTCTTATGTTGCTTTTTCGGTGAGTCGAGCAGCTAAACGGACCAAGTTATAAGTTGGGTTAAAATTGAACTTTTGTCGATCAGAAAGCTACCGATCTGTGATTTTTTTTTTTTTTTTTTTTTTGGTTTAAATCTTAATCCTTTTCGTTGTTAATATAATGGATTAAAACGTGCTTGTTTTTGTCGTAAATGGTACGTAACTTTGAAGGATCTGCAAAATATGTTAAACTGCAAATTTTTAATTTGCGGACAATTATTCAAATAATTTAAAATATAATGCTAAATTATTTATTTTGTGAAAATAATTTTATCATAAAAATGAAAGCAAGATCGTCTGTTTGACGAAAATCAGATGTTACAATTATCAGTAAAATTGATATGAAATTTAATATATTCGAATCTGATTAATTGATATATAAATACAACAAATATGCAAATATTACTAATTTTATAACCATTGCTAACAATAAAAAAGGATCGAAATCGTCGAATTAAAGACTTTGTACCATCCATGACAATCAACTAGCATCATAAATAAGATAGATAAGAAAAATAATTGAGATGACAAAATCTATATTTTATATATTCGTATATTTTCGAGAAGATTGCATAAAAAATATATATATAAAACAAAGCGCGTCAAAACGATCGGTAGCGATTAATTATTATGGTAGACTATATTGGGCTGTTGGCATGAGGTTTAATAAAAGTAAGCTGCTCGACGTGTCAATACCTCTGTTGTAATCGAACCCTGCAATTAGACCTCCCTTAGACACTTGTTCCATAGAGATGCTTGCCCTAGATTTAATCAAGTTGGTTACCTTGTAATGGTTCTCTTGTGAGAGAGAATGGAAGATTCTATAAAATTAAAACGTTATTTTTAAAATATATATCGCAAATATTATTATAAAAAACAAACGATTCAACACAAATTTTAGACTTTATATAATAAAAATGTAGATTATTAATAATCTTGTCCCTAATAAAAATAAGAAAAATCGATAATCGTTCTATTCTATAAATATATCTTTGATAAGAATTAATTTTTTTCTTTTATGAAAAATTTGCCACGAATCTTCTTTTTCCTACAGAGATCTTTTAATTCTCTCTCAATGGGAAATCCATTTGTATCGAGATACAAAGGAGAGACCGTAAACAAGTCCGTAGATCTGTGATCAATGTGGTGGATGCGTATTATTAGAGAGTAGATCGATACAACACAATCACCAATATACTCAGTTCACTTTTTCAACTCGTCGCGTGATGATAGAATCGCGATAGAACTAAAAAATACGAACGTGTTAAAAAAAAGAATATTAAGATTGAATTGAAATCGATCGAAAGGGAGACGTTGCTAATGCCGTTGCTCGCCCTTTGGCCATTTTCTTTCTGTCGGTCTCAGGTATTCGGTAACATCGCGCTGGATGCTGATACCTCTATTACTAAGCACAACAATTTCCAAAGCTTCATTCAAGGTCTGATGTTGCTTTTTCGGTAAGTAAACAACACTTAACGCCACGCAAAACTTAACTGCGATTAATAAAGAAAAAAAAAAAAAAAAAAATAAGAAAAGAAAGAAAGAAAAGGAGAACGGCTGTTTTCATTTTTCTATTTATATTATCTCTTTTCTTCTCTGTTTATTTTGTCTTTTTTTTTTCCCCCTCTCGTCGGTTTCTTCTTCTTCCTTTTTCCTCTATTTTTATTTCCTTTGCGAAAAGAGCACCGCGCTGCTGCAAAGCAACACACGCATATCAAACACACTCGGAGGAATTTTTAATTCTCGAGGAACTTAATTCTCGATGATGGGAGATGATTTCGAAGAGTAAAGAAAGACGGATGTGCTCGGAGGTGATTACACTTTATATTGTTGTTCCAAACTATTTCGGGAGATTTTGTTGAATTTAATTGATACACTAACATATAATGAACTAACTACGCGTGATAATAAACAGTTCAAAAACTGACACAGTAGCATTCGAGTAGAGAATTGAGTTACTTAAATCGATACTTTTTGCTTTTGATGTTGCATTTAATAAAACACTTGAGAAAGTTCCAAGTTCCATGCATGAATTGTGTTCTCAAGTATTACAGTTCTACTTGATATCCCCTTGTGTTTAATTATTGAAACTGTTGTACATTCAGATCAACATTAATCGTTCGTAATTAGTATAAATATATATATTTGATGAAGTGAAAATATTTTAGAAAAGTTCCCATTAACGTACATATCTTGCTTCGAGTTGAGTTATTCGCATGCATCTTGAAAAATTGAAATCGACGATTCTTGACACTTTCCTCTTTCCTCGATGAGTTTCGATTAATTAAATAGATTCTTATTATATTATATTAAGAATGAAAATATATAACGATTATAAAAAAATTCGTATATCAGTTTCAATATCAATTTCAATTACTAAATCATAAAATATTCGATTTAAAATTATTTTGTATTAAAAAGATTCCACGTAAATTTTTTACATCGGATTTCTCCAATTCGATCGACAATTCTGTAAAAATCATACGAATCAAAATCCACCCCTTCAACGTGTCACAAACTTCAATTTGTGACGCACTTTAATTGCAAGCGAAACAGTTGTTCAAGAATCGTCGAATTGCAAAAGTGTATCGTCCATTATCTGGACGGGCTCTGCTTTCAAGTTACAAGTAGCGTAGAATAATATTCGATCCTAAGAGAATCGAGAACGATAACGATCGAATGATAATTAGGTGTGCGACTGGCGAGGCATGGCCGAACATAATGCTGTCCTGCGTGAAGGGTCGCCCTTGCGACGCGAAAGCCGGTAAACAGGAGGGTGGCTGTGGCTCGAACATAGCGTACGCCTATTTCGTCTCGTTCATCTTCTTCTGTTCGTTCCTGATGCTGAATCTGTTCGTCGCCGTCATCATGGACAATTTCGATTACCTTACGAGGGACTCGTCCATACTTGGCGCCCACCACTTGGACGAGTTCGTACGCATATGGGCCGAATACGACCCGAACGCGACCGGCAAGATCCATTACACGGAGATGTACGACATGCTGAAGAACATGGATCCGCCGTTGGGGTTTGGAAACAAATGTCCGAACAGGCTTGCCTACAAGAAGCTTATCAGGATGAACATGCCGGTGGACGTCGACTTGAAGGTGAACTTCACCACCACTTTGTTCGCCCTGATCCGCGAGAATCTCAATATAAAAGTGAGAAGAGGTGAGTTATATAAAAAGCTTTATGCGTTTCTTTATTCGAATTAAATGAAATTTCATTTATGATATTTTTAATATGATATTTTATTATATATGATTTAATATAATTTTTATATTATATTTTATTATAATATGATTTAATATAATATTTTTAATATGATATTTTTAAGAAAATGTATTTTTCATTATCTAAATTAAAATAAGTAAAATAATGTAACTTTTCATAATTTAAAAATCTTTTTTGCATACGTAAATTCCAATCTGAATTTTAATAATTATTGGATAGGAGAGTTTGACTAAACAAGTAATCGAAATCTATTTTATCGTTAAACGATGGAAATATATATTCACAATTTATCGGTGATTTCCAGCCTCCGAGAGAAACCAAGCGAACGAGGAGCTAAGAGACACGATAAGAAGTATTTGGCCTCTGCAGGCGAAAAAGATGTTGGACCTTTTGATACCTAGGAACGAAGGTTGTGTAAAAATTGTGTGAAAATTTCAACCCGGCTCAATATACAATGTATGCTCACAAGCGTCTACTCATCTCATTCCAGAAATAGGCAGAGGTAAGATGACCGTTGGTAAGATATACGTCTGCCTTCTGATACTCGAAAGTTGGAGGACGACTAGGTTTGGTCAGATAGAATCAGCCGGACAGGTGAGTTTTTCGTTAATCACGGTTGAAAAGTTCAAAAAGAAAAAAAAAAAAAAATGAAAGACCCTAGCGATATTTTTCTATTCAAACAAAGGAACCTTCGTGCTGCACTCTTACCAGATTCGTTTCATAATTGATTGATGATCGATCGGAATATATATGATATATCTATATATATATTAAGAAGAGACGAACCTCGTGAGAATGCATCCACGAGGATTGAGTTCGAATGGATGTTTGTCATTGGCTTCTTCGTGGTAGGATTTCACGTGGACCGTGTGAAAAGTCACGTCTCGAATAGAGAATTTCCAATGATTCCATGTAGCTTCTTGATCACCCACGAAAGCTTAGTATCCCGATAATTTTGAAAATCTATTTTTCAATTTCGTATAATATTTTTCAATTATTTCGTATTATATATTTCATATTATATAATGAGAAGAAAATGTTAAAAAATATATATATATATATATATATATATTTGGGAGTGATTCTAAGCTTTCTTCCCCGTGTCCCCGATATTCTGACGCTATATTAATGTGTGCTCAGTAGTGGCGAGAATTTTCAAACATTCATATGTATTTGAACGAGTAAAATTAAAAATTCAAGACTCTTTTCAAGCTGCATTCTTTATCCCCGTGTGCCATAATTAAATTTTGATTGAAAATTGATGGAAATTTTACGAGAATTAGGAGTAAGGTGAAATAAATTAAAATTGTACGATTGTAATATAGAAATATAGAAAAATTTTCTAATTAAATAACGAAGGAAGATCATTTCGATTATAAATTTAAAACTTCGAATAAAACAAGATTAAATATTTTATAGAGATTATACAGCAAAAATTAGAAATCCATAAGTAAAGTATATTCACTTATATTTTTAATTACAATATCTTTTTTAAATTCAATATAATATAAATGAAATCGTGTTAAAAAATTCTTTAAGAATACTGGATGTTATAATAATTCTACTTTCAAATTTAATAATTTAACTTGTAGTTAAACAATTTTTCATTTCAAGAAAATCGAACGATTATCTCACCGGGATAACGAATCGGCCTTAACTTATTGTTAGTTAAATATTATAAGAACAAGGAAGACGTCGTTCAATTTCTGTCTGTTGAATTAGCCGATTCAATATGTTGTAGAAGCAGTTCGATGTCACCCTTCCTGTGAACGTCACGAATTCAAATTTTGTGCAAATGATTTAACTAGTAGATTGTCCATAATCGATACATCAATCGTTATTTAATTATATTGCAATTTAAAAAAGAATCGTAATTGATATTTTTACGATTTTGAATATTTATATATCATTTCGATCGGATCCACAGCGTACGACGATGTATCGACGATGAATACAGATCACACATAGAAATTTAGGAAAAATATAAGTTTTTTTGAATGAGTTTACGATTAGATTATTATTAGATAAGAATATGTGTGTTGAATTTTATATAAGTGTTCCATTTTGAAAAAAAAAAAAAAAAAAAATATATCATAGAAAGTGAGTACGACAACGAGGTTTGAACCTTCGAATATTATTGATTAAATAGAGGTTATGTTGTTCTTATTAATTATTATTATTATTATTATTAATGTTATGATTATGATTATAATTATCGTTATTATTATTATTATTATTATTATTGTGACATTAGTGTAGGAGTAATTTAAAATTTGAAATTTAATCACATATTGTTATTACGTTTATTATATAACATTATTATATATTAATATACCCAGACAAGAGGATGTTCACGCAGCTCTCAAAATCATCTCTTTGTGTCTTTTCTCTTTGTTTTACAGAACGATAACGATCTTATCGATAACGATAATGCTGGGCAAAGTCCTGCAGCCCAGGCGGTAGTACTTTATACTTTTTCTCTTACTTATTATTATTATCATCTTTAACACGGTCTTTTCGTTTCATTTTTCCTTTGTACATTTTTTACGTTTCATTTTAATATATATTCGTTCATCATTCTTCCATCATTCGCTGCAAAGTCGATTTATTCGATCGATCTTCGATAGGAAGAAAAATTATATTGCCAATAGAAAGTTCTTTAATGATAATCGTAAAATTTTCTGTTGATTTTATTATTATTCGTCGATTCGATTGATAAATTCGATCGAAATAAATAATTAATCTCGAAATCTCGGATAATTTTATACGATATTTCCAATTTCAAATTTTTCAAATTTCGTTATGTTATTAATTCGATTCGACGAAATTTTGATAATTGATACGATAATGATAAAATATAGAAAATATCGAAATCACTTTGCAGCGAATGATTTACCTTTTCGTGTATATATAAATAACATTTACGTTCGTTGTATACTTTTTATATCCATCAAATCAGGCAGAGACACAATAGCCTATCAGTGTACATACATAAATAAATACGTATAATTAATATGTACAGTTGGTATAATTATTATTATTATTATTAGTATTATTATTATTATTATTATTATTATTATTATTATTATTATTATTATTATTATTATTATTATTATTATTATTATCATCATCATCACCATCATTATTATTATTATTATTATTATTACTATTATTATTATTATTATTATTATTATTTTCTTTTCATTTAGAGATTGGCAGTTGTATCTCTGTACATCTTTTTTTCAATCTTGTACGTTTCTTTCTTTGCATCGACACAGATATACAGATACACACACACTCTCATCATACTACGCACTCTAATTTTTAACGACATTTGTTCACACTTGTACATTTACTTGTTTCGATTAGTTTCCTTTCTTACGTATCACGTAGATTTTTAACTTCTTTCCTTTTAACTTTTTCTAACTGTCAACTGAATCCACTGTATCGATAGAACGATAACGCAACAGCTATTGATGCAAATGTTGGAAATTTTTCGACTAAATAACCTTTCAACAACAAAATTTTGATCCATCTCTTTTTTATCTATGATGCAAATTTTGAAGAACAAAAATTATTCCAAAAAATGGGAGAATCAAGCGCGGTTGCGTTGCGATACAGAAAAATCACACACGCGAACTTTTTTCTCTTCTCTTTCTTAGGCACTTGATAATACTTAATTAGTAGGAAGTAATTATTAGAGCATCTGTCGAATTTCACACTATACTTAGATATACTATATCTTAGAAAACTTTTAGAAAACTTTTCCTTTAAAATAATCTCCTTTCTTAATGGCACGTTTCCTCTTCAAATAATAAGCAACTAGTCTTAGGATTAATTATTTGAATCTAGTTAAACAAAAAAAAAAAAAAAAAAAAAAAAAAAACGTTCCAATTTTATGCATCGTCGTAAATAATAATAATAATAAAAAAAAAAACTCCCGTATTTTATTTAATTTAAAAGAGGGAGAGAAAATTGATCGTAAGAAAAAAAGGAAAGAAAAATTGTTGCTACGATGCGTAAAATTCTAACGTTTTGAGTTTTTTTAGTGGTGGTGCGTGTCGATGTCACGTGGGTGATCGTACGCACGTGTTCCCACGTGAATATCGGCTCTTTGCCCCGAGAACACGATATAGCTGTGTGTAAGTAAATTACCCAGTACGTCGAACCTCCTGTTAGAATGAATACAATATACCGAATATATATATATATATATATATATACATATATACATATATATATATATATATCTGAATCCTCGAACATAGCTCGCCTTTTGCCTCGAGTATCATTCCATTTTAATTAGGTCGCATTAGTCACCAATTAATTATAGTTAGTCTCGAATTAATATCTTATATAGGCGATAGTTTAGTCCCAAATATGTATTTTGATCGTTAGTAATCCAAACGTATAATCGATCTTACGTATTAGAAATTATCCTTTTTTGTTTTTTTGTTTTTGATACATTATTCTGTTGCAACTGTTTGTAAATTTTTTCTTTTCTCATTGTTATCTCTTCCTCCCCTATAGTGGCTCTTTTTGGTACGATAGTAGAGAAATCGAGGAACTCACTTTCGAGAACAATATTTTTAATGCAGTAAGTTCCTCGAGTTAGATTTATTAGCATCCTCCAGTTAGATGCATCGCAGTAATTTGTGGACGAGAAAAGGTAGAATGTTTCTTTGTGTTCTTTTTTTTTTTTTTTTTTTTTTTTTTTTTTTTTTTGCGTTGGCAACAATACTGCAGCGATTGGTTCGATTGTGTTATTTGTTATCTATAGCTGATTTTCTTGTAAATCAAGGAAAATTAATTAAAATCAGATTAGACACAAATGTCTTTTGCAAATCGTTGAGATGATAATTTTTCTTCTTTATTCTTTTTATTTTAAAAAGAAAAATTTACAATTTTATGTTTAAATTAAATCATGAAAGTTTTTTCGCGTCAGTTATGTCAACAGATCAAAATTGAAACTATTTCTACATTTGAATTACAATTTATATGATCATAAAATATAATATTATCAGGTACGTAATCCAGTGGGAAAAAATTGCTGCAGTGTTTCCAATATAGAGAAACAAAAAACACTGTATAAGATTTTTGTCCATACTTTGTACCCTTTTCTTTCTTATCCATCTGTAACTCTCTTTCTCTCTCTCTCTATTTCTCTTTCTAACAACCAGCAGCGTAGTATATAAATTAGAAAATCTATTATATTGATTACCGTTTTCCGTAGAATCGTTGCCTTGCTAGTTCTCTTCCACAATGGCTTATTTTCCACAATATACTACGTAATACAACAAGAATATACAAAAAGTTTTACACGAGGATTACTCTTCGACACGCAGACAACAACATGACAATTATTACTACTTTTAAGTAGATAAATTATTCAAGTCTTTCCACCAAAGATTCGGTGACGGCCTTTTCTTTTTTTTGTCGAAACGAACGATGCTGTGAACAACCAAATGTTTATCATCGATCCAACGACGACCATTCGTCAGATTATCGTGATACGATGACAAATGTCGTCTGTTGTCGATCGAAAGAAAAAACCATATTTCCTCCATATTTAAAGTATCTATTTTGTAGACAAGTATATTTCGATATTTATTTAGAATAATGGTGCCACTTATCTCGTGTGTTTGATAATTTAGATTTCTATGATTACGAATAATATATTTTTAATAATAATTTCGAGAATTAAGAAAAGATTGAAAAAGATTTTGAATTTTCTCTTTCAATCTCTTTATTATCTTTGTAATTTGAAAATTTTTCTAAACTTGTGTATAAATATATTAGATTATTTCAAATGAAACACGATCAAAGTTTTAATAAAATTTTTAATATTCATTATCGCGATGATATGAATTTATTTTTATTTTTAAACCAAATAAACTATCTAATCTGAACCAGACATAACAATAATAAATATATTCATCGAGTTTGATGAAACATTTCAAGTCTACTTGAAATCGAAATCTTATTTCAAATACCGAATATCCAATTTAAGGGTGGCGCCCTTATATTCTAAATAAATACCATCTGGAATTTTGTCGTAACGTATTGAGAATTAATTAATAAATAACGTATTTAATCGAGATTAATTGTGAGTAGATAAAACAGTAGCGAAATGTGCCGTACGTAGGCATGTAGTCGACAACTCGAGTACAGTACTATTACACCATTTATATGTGTGTATATATACGATTATGTATATATACGAATGATTAGTTAGATAAAAAAAAAAAAAACGTCACGTTTGTTCGCTGTGATTGGCTTGTGTACAATCTTTGTCTCCACCATTTGTTCGCATATGTATATGTACTCTTAGTAAATTTTTTAGAAAAAAATATTTGCAAATCGTCGACGTTCCAATTTATTAATAAACGATATTTGATATTTTTTTTTTTAGATTTAGATAAAGATGATAGGATATTATTGTTTATATCGACATTACAGAGAAACATCGACGATTTGTTCATTGTGTTTGCATGCTTACTTAATATTTGCATTTCTACAATGTACAGTGTAAACGTGACGATTAATCAGGCGTCCTTTATTTTTTGTACATGGTACTTCTTTATATGCTCATTTATAAACACTTTACAAAAAATAAGATTAATTAATTTACATTACGTACGTAAGAATATAATATAGCTTTTTTGAAACATATACAGGCTTTGTCAAAGTGATCCACAGGCACATGATTACAATTTGCTATATATATATATAAATATACTTTTACTACAATTTTTTCGATTCTTTGTTCTTGCACACGCATTTTTCAAAAAAAGAAAAAAAAAATTTTTTCTCTAATAATATCTCAAGAAATATTTTTGTAACACTCGAGTGCATTACGTCACATGATTATCACTCTTTCCAGCCAATTCTAGCATGGCCTCTCTGTTTCTCTCTATCTCTCTCTTTTTTTTTCTTTTTTTTTTTTTTTGAAAATTTCTCTCTCGCCGTTTTTTATCGCTATAAACACAACAACTCGCGCTCTCTACTATTTTATAATCATTCTTTTCCCTTCTAACTCGAAAGAGAAGCACGCAAGAGAAAGAAGGTAAATCGAAGGAGAACGAAAGAAAGCCTGTATGTGCCTGTACATACCTGTAACTGATAATATTTGGCTCTTTGGAAACGAGAGATAAAGAAAAATAAATAAGTAAAAAAATAAAAAAAAGAAAAAAAGAAAGAAATAGCTCTGATAGTCGGTGTGGTTTCGCACGTTCGACTTTAGCAAGCCTTCCTCAACTGCATACTGGACGTGACGGCGGTAAATCATACCGGAAATAATCACGGGGCCGGAAGTAGGGCGAACAGCCTCGAACACGTGGTACGGCCAACGCCGGAAACGAAGCTCGATCAACACAAGGAGCACAGGGAGGAAGACGACGAGCATAGACGTCAACGTAGCATCAGGTACTCCGTTTCCGTTTTATATATAATATAATAATGCGTTTCAAAAATGTAACATATATATATTACACGTATATTGCAAAGAGAAATTTATCTTCTGATGATATTTAGAGTTTTGCATTCGACAAATTTACAGAATTAAATTTTTTCAATTTACCAAAATTATATATAAGTATGGAAAACAATAATAGCGAATCGTTATGGATAGAAAGAAATCTAATCAAAAACCAAACTCAAAATATAAAATAATATGGATTATAGTAAATATAAAGAAACTAGAATAACAAATACATGATCAATGTATACAATAGAAAATGACAGTAGTTTTCAAGTTCAAATATATTCAAGACACGATATTGAATATATAAGAGAGTTGATATATTTTTGAAACGTGTTGTAACTATCCACATCCATTTATATTTTGCATTGTAACCACTTTCTTCTTTCCTTTTTTTTCTTGGATTTTTTGCAGAAATAAAAAGGTGAACTGGAAGATGTCCCACCAGTACGATATACTAGGCAGCAGCGGAGAGAGTAGCCAGGGAGGGGGTGGGTCTGGGGTTGTACCCGTAGTTAATGATGAGGATCGCGCCCCCGAGCTAGAGCCATTGCTGGCTGAGGTGCCCTCCCAGCAGGATCAAAACTACTACTACCACCATCACCATCACGACCAATACTACGATACCGACAATGATCTATACTATGACCATCACCACCACCACCACCACCATCACCATCACCATCATCATCATGCTCACCGACCACCCTCGTACTATCAACACCAGAATACCTACGCACCTCGCTCCTCGATCCGTTACCACAAGGTCTCTCGGCTCGATTCAATTAAAAAAATCCTCCACGATTTTCGAGTTTAAAGTATCTTTTTTTTTTTTTTTTTTTTTTT